GCGTGTAGTCTACCCCGTGAGTTTGGTCAAAACCACGAACAACCCATCTTGCCTTATGTTTTTCATAAGAGCCGTCAGCTTTCGTCTTCACCCTGAAAACCCATTTACCGGTAAGAACATTTTTATTTGTAGCTTTTTCGATGGGTATGAGATCCCAAGTCTCCCGTTTTTTCAGGGCAGCCAGTTCACGATCCATGGCTTCACGCCATTTTTCGCGATGTGGTCCTGAAAGGGCCTGTCGGGCAGTTTTCGGTTCTGCGACTTCTGAAGAATTATGTTGTACTGCTGTTGCGAGTCCCAGTATCTGAAGCCCAGTTTGATAATTAGGACTGTCGTCAGTCCGTCCTGCGAAATTGAAAGATTCACACTGTTCACCATTTGCCCCCCCAATTTCGTCAAGATCGACGCGGATGCTGCTGTCAGTTACAGCTGGCATGGGACGTCGTTGACCGTCCACCAGGCAAGTATGATGAACTTCACGAACATCGTCGGGATGAGCGTCGACGAGTGGAATGAATTCCGGAAATCCGGAAGACGTGGTCGGAATGGGTGGATCAGGAGCGGCTTCACGTGCACCGTCAATGTCAGGTTCTTCGCTGGCAGCGAGTTCGGCGTCAGCACTGGCGAATGACCGAACACCGTGGAAAAGTGTAGCAGGGTCACGCTGCGTGGCGAGGTACCAAAAACTCGAAGAAGTTTCGTAGTGCCCAAATTTTCCTGTCCACAACAAGTGAGGTGATGCGTTGTTTGGTAAAGCCGATGAAGACAGGAGGTTGTGCAACAGCGTTGCGTGGTCCATCGCAAAGGGCCAGTAGAGTGGGCCGAGTTGAGACTGTGCGAGTAGTGCTCGCATCTTTTCTTGCAAGGTACGATTGAGGCGTTCAGCTACACCGCTCTACTGGTGAGCGTGAGGAAGTGAGAACAGGCGCCGTATGCCTCGTTCTTGCGGATACGCTGTAAACTCGAGGCTGCGATATTCCCCAGCTCCGTCAGACTGGAAGGTTTTTAGTTTTGTGTCGGACTCGCGTTCTGCTAGAGGCAGCCATGTCCGAAACGCTGTGAAGGCAAGAAAACGGTTACTCATGTTACCAGTCCAGACGTATCGAGTAGAAGCTTCAGTGAACGTGATAACATATTTCTCGCCGTTGAAACCCTCCGCAGGTAAGTTGAGAATATCACTGTAAACTTTTTCCATCAACCGATAATCCTCAGCGCCAGGAAAATGAGTCGGGTACGGTTCGTGCGGTAGATTTGCTGCTGGGCAGATCAAGCAGGGTGACGGACGATTAACCGGTTTCATTTCGAGGCCGCCAGGTAAGAGAAGAGAATTCTTGTCGAGAACAGCTGCTTTGATTGTGTTGTTGAGTGTAGACTGCGACGGATGACCAAGACGCTTATGCCAGATGTCTGCAGTTGCTTTGTGTCCCTGTGCGCGCAGATAATAGTCGGCGTTAGCGAAGAAAGACAACAGTAACCGATGACCGTCAGCGTGAACATGATCTGTGACTGGCGGGATGAACCTGGTAAGGTTAGGAGGTGGTATTTTGATTTCGACGTCGATGGATTCGCCAGGTGACAGAACTAACTCCCCGCTCTCTTGATCTGATGCTGCAGGTTTAGGTTCAACACCGACAAGTCGTCCGGAGTCGAGGACTTCCATGTCAGCGACACGCTGCTCTGCTTCAGTGAGAAGACGTCGATCACGATCTGCCGGTGTTTCTCCCCAAGTAGTCTCGTCAGGTTCCTGTGCCCCCCAAGTGCCTTCATCCGTGGGCATGTTCGTCGTATCTCCCCAACCACCAGCATGAGCAAGATCATCTCGGGAGTTCTGGACGTCGTTCAAACCTTGATTGTCGAAGGTCAGCATGACAGCGGCAGCCGTGGTCGAAGACGTGGGTACAACTCCATCACGAGGAACGGTATCATCGGTATAATCGATGTCGTCGCGATGTTCCCATGGGCCAAGAGAGAGAATATTCTCGGAGTCGGCAGTGGTGCGTTCAGGTACGAAGTTGAGAACGAACACACCGTTCTGTTCAATTGTTGTGCCGAGTTTCTTGTCTCCATATTTTAAATTAAATTTGCCCGGTTCACCAAGAAGAGTAATGCCATTCCTCATGAGTTGTGCAGATGACATCAAATTGAAGCCAAGTCGAGGAACGAGGAGTACATCGTTAAGATGAAGACTGAAGTCTTCGTCAACAGAATCAAGAATGACGTTACCCATCCAGTGTGCTGTAAGACGTTGATTGTTGGCGACGGTTACCACGCACAGATTCTGAAGACGACGCTGATTGATGACGAAGCGATTTTCGGATGAACACATATGCTGGCCGCAACAGCTGTCGAGATACCAGGTGTTGGGCCCTTCCAAAGTATGTGCCAGGTTGGCGTAGACCTCGGGTGGTATAGGCGTATTGAGTTCATCGTTGAAGTTACTGTGAATACGTTCTTCAGCGTCAGGATCGTAGGTAGTAGAAACTGACGTCATACAATTAATAACTTCTTTCGCTTGTGTCTTGACAGGTGTAGTAGGCAGCTTCGCAGAGTTCGGCTTCGCAGTATTCTGCTTCGCGGCTTCTGGCTTCTCAGCTTCCGGCTTCTCAGCTTCACTTGAAGAATCTTTGGTATGTTTTGATGCAGACCGCTTCCAAGATGGTTTATCTTTCGACCAGCAGGTGTCAATAGTGTGTCCTGCTTTGCGACAAAAAGAACAAACAGGTTTGTGACGTGGATTAGAATAAAGACTGACTGTACTGTTTACCACCTTTTTCCCTCCTCGAGCGTTGTGCAGATCCATATCATGCTGCTCGGTGATGAGAGCGGCACAGAGTGCCCCCTCGGACAACTGTGCTTGCATCCGAAGTATAGAGCGACACTGTCGCCATTCTGGTCCAAGACCCGCGAGTAGCACCGTGTGGAACATAGCGTCGGGGAAGTACCCTCCACACTTCTGAAGTTGATCGCGCAGATTTCGAGCGCGGTTGATATACTGGGTCACCTTCTCGCCGTTTATCATCTGTATATTTGACAGCTGCGTCAAAATTTTACTCTGGTTGACAGTGTCCTTTGCCATGTGAACCCCTTGCAGGTATAACGAAGCTGCTTCAGCGGGAGCGGCACTGGTACGAAAAGAACGAATTCCGAGCTGTTCAGTCGGTGTCAGATTACGAACGAGAACTGTGTATGCAGTCAGCGACGCCGATCGAAAAGTGGCTTGTTGAAGTGGTGACCCGTGTGATGGAAAGGGTGCTGTGCCGTCGAACAACTGCCGGAACCCCGCGGTCTGAACAAGAAGCTCAAACTCAAAGCTCCAGGTATAAAAGTCTTGACCGTTAAAAGGCACTGTCGTTTTAATTTTCGTTGGATTTGCAGAAGCGGGAATATAATTTCCGGTACCGTCAGCTGATTGTAGCTGATAAAGTGATGGCACCTGTGACCCTTGTGGTGCTTGTTGTCCTTGTCCAGCACGAACGAAAGAGAAGGAGTTATTCGACCCATCGCTTCCCTGTGGCATCTGTCCATGCTGATAACTGGAGCCATCAAGGCTCATAGGAGTTGGAAACATTTGGTTAAGTGACAAGACGGCAGCATTGACACGTTGTTGAAGATTCGTTGGCTGGTAAGCACCTTGATATTGATAAGGTCCAGTTGGTACGAAACTGGACTGTTGTCCTGGTTGACTAGAAGAACCAGTGACTGCAGTTGCAGCTGTTGTGGCTGCTGATGCTGCTGTTGCTGCGGCTGCTGTCGATGATGCCGCTGCTGCAGTTGTGTGTACGGGCTGATTGCTCAGTGGCATGCCGTACATCGGTTGTTGCTGATATTGTTGTTGTTGTTGTTGTTGCTGCTGCAGATAAGAATTATCAGCAGCTGGAGACGCTGTTGGGCGTGATGGGCTCGTAACAGAAGAGCCGTTGTTGGACCGTGGAGATCCAGACATAGTTGTAGAGTATGTAGTTAGAAGCTTGTAGTATCCTAAGACGCTCGCAATACCATGTTAGAATTTGAAGTGATTGAATAGGATCGTACTACTTAGGATGGTAGCTTCCTGTCGTAGCGGAAGTCTTGTATGAATTAAAGCCAATTAAGAAGGCTTTGTCTGGACTAATAAAAGCCCATGTAGTGATATGTTTCAGGATCAATGTCTCTGAAGTCAGATATATTATAAAATGACAAACATACAAATATATATAGCTAGAGTAAAGTACCTGTTCGCCTACTGTACTGTGCTATTTTTATCTTGAAACGGTACGTAACTATTCGCGAAGTCTATAGCTACGTGCTGACGTCATCCTATGGCGCGTAGCGCTTTGCTGACGTCAGCCTATCGGTACTTTACTGTACTACACGAATTTCCTTGAAGTGCTTAAGTCTCGATATTATCTCAACACGCACAAAACTGATTTATGGTTGACTTGGTTTAAATTGTTTGGGATACCGCATGAGAGTTAACAAAGCATTTTAGATCAAGGAAAAAAAGCATACACAATATCTACAAAACACCTGAACTCCCCACTGTAATTGGCGTGCCATTATGGCTGCATGTTTATTTACTAGGTTATCTTTATATATCTGATAAGTGTAAAAGATGATGATGATTCCCCAAACCACGGGGAAAAAATACTCCCTTGTTCTTCTTGAGGTGAAGAGCAACAAAACATTAGTGCTGATATGAAGTGGCTCTCAGGCACCTCTGTTTTTTAGAATCATAGAAAAAACACTTGGGCCCCAATCCACATGCGAACTACACCGATTTCTGGCTGAGTTGGTTCCAACTATTGGGGATACTGTATGAGGGTTAACAAAGCATTTCAAACTAAGGAAAAGTAACACACTGGATTTACAAAACACCTGAACTCCCCACTTGTAATTGACGTGCCATTATGGCTGCATGTTTATTTACTAGCCCATCTGTATATATCTGACCAGTGTAAAAGGTGATGATGGTTCCCCAAACCACCATGGAAAAAGACTGCAGCCTGCGTCACAACCCCTTGTCACATGAAATCGCTTCCATCGCTGCTCTCGTGTTCACCCCTCCGCCAAGCAGCAGCGTACATGCAATCCGCGGAGTGAATATCCGAGGTGATGTAGTCCTCCGTGCGCCCATCCAGGAATCCCCTGCCACTCTCGCTCTCCACCTCCACCGGCTCGCGCAGCAGGCGGGTCAGCAGGCGGTACCGCAGCGAGCGCACCTTGCGGGATTCCTCGGCTCGGAACGTCTGACCCAGCACGCCGTGAATGCCACTCGTGTGCTGCAGAGGGGAGAAGGAGAGAGTGGGTAAGAGGCAGGGGGGGGAGGGGGGAGAGGTGAAGGGAAGACGATTGCATGGGACAATATGACATGGCCATACCCAAAGCCATGGATGGTTATCATGGCAGCATGCGGCTGGGCACAGCACGGGCCAGTATATAACGAACAATCACAAAACTCGAAGGAAATAAAGGATGAACGAAAGATCAGAAGAACATTGCTCACATTGAGCTGTTCGATGTGCACATTGAAATGAGCCTGGGCCTCCGTAGCCGTCTGCATGAGCGGATGCGCCAAACGTGCCGTGATGCCCATGTCCACCAGTCCGTCGATCGTGAGATGAAAATCGTCCTCGTCCTTCCCCTTGCAGCTCCGTGTCTCCGCCAGCAGCAGCTTGAACCCGCCGCTGCCAACGATGGAAGAGCCTTCGGACAGAGGCGGGGCCACCGGCGAGCCGTCGAGCTCCATTCGGTCGATGAACCCGCTGCTGCCCCTCCCTTGCTCCTTGCCGTCGCGTGCCTTAAAGAACACCGAATGCTGTGTGCCTGTCGCATCGCGCCACATTACTTGGAGCTCCCTGGAATGAGTGCAGCATGAGAAGAGAATGTGAGGCTCGTGGAAATCTGAAAACATGCGCACCTGTCGCCAAAGGTAACTCCGCACCACAATCACATACCTGATCCAGCTGCGAATCGGCTTTCCTTTTAGAAGCCTCGCCTTCAGCTCATGCTTCGCATACTGAATGGAGTGCTGCTCCTCTTCCCCTCCACTCCCACCGCTTTCTCCGCCGCTGCGACCACCAGCTTCCCGCTCAAGCGCTGCCGCCACCTCAGCAGTCAACGGCAGGCTCCCATTGGCCCGCATCCTCTCCAGCTCGCTCAGTTCCTCCACGCTCAGCCTCTCCTGCTCCAGGTGCCGGACATGACGTGGCTTCTTCTCTTTGGACGCCGCCTCCAGCGCTGCAGCGAGAGACTCTTCATCCAACGATGTCGTCGTGCCGGGAAGATTCGCGATGGGCTGGTAACCCTTGATTCCCATGTTGATGTGGATCCGACGGTCGGAAACCAAGCAAAAGGAGCGGTCAAGAAGGCCGTTGAAGTCAAAGCTCGTGCCGTCTGCGCCCCGGAAATGCGGGTCGTCATCCGTGTTGGCATCGGGGTTGCATTGGCCTCCCAGGAACGTAATTGGCCATTCTTTATCCCAGTTCCTCACGGTGAGACCAGCCAACGAGCCCATCAACTTGCATTTGCCACTGCTCAGTGCCACGGGGGGAGAGAGAGAGAGAGGGAGAGAGAGAGAGGGAGAGAGAGAGAGGGAGAGAGAGAGAGAGAGGGAGAGAGAGAGAGAGAGGGAGAGAGAGAGAGAGAGGGAGAGGGAGAGAGGGAGAGAGAGAGGGAGAGAGAGAGAGAGAGAGAGAGAGAGAGAGAGAGAGAGAGAGAGAGAGAGAGAGGGAGAGAGAGAGAGAGGGAGAGAGAGAGAGAGAGAGAGAGAGAAAAGCGGAGGCGTTCAAATTCACACGTAGAAAGTACTGTTTGAGAAGGATAGGACTTGAGTGAGATACGCTGCGGCTACCGTAGCAGGGGCAACTAGGGGTTCAGCAGGGAGGAAGCGCAAGCCGGGATTGTCGGTGAAACGGACAGGGGCGACCGTCTAACGACCATGCGACGGAGTAGGGCAATAGTATCGGTGGCGCGATGCTTACAGCTGGCCGTTTGCTGGCGGTTGCAGATGCCAGTACTTGCAGCCAACTTGCTTGGCACAGCGCTGACAGCATTCCACTATTTCGCTGGTGTGCTGCGAAGACGAGCGACGGGGAAACGACGACAGCCAGTTAGTAACATGTGCATGTGCATTGATAGCCTAGCAAAAGCAGCGATGCGTTCGAGAGCGGCGTGTTAAGCTAATGAAAGAAATGCGAAAGAAGCTTGGGAATAAAAAGGTAGCAGGGTCCAAATAGGTTTATATCAGTGCTTACCCCAGATGTCGGATTGATCTTTCCGATACTGGGCAGATTGCCGACATTGTAGCGCTCGTAGTTGTAGTTGCCGTCAGTATTTTCTAGGAACGACCTCGTGTCGGTTACTCTCCTGATTTGGTATCCGATTACAAGACTGTTGCATTTCTTGTAACATCCGCGAGTTGGAGTCAAGGGGCCCGTTGGTGCGTCCTCGTCAGGGTGCGGTGCGACAGTCGGAGAAGGTGCGGCCAGAAGCACCGCGGCGAACAAAACCAGTAGCCACGATGTCGCTCCCGCCGCGGCGGCTCTTTTGCCAGTGGCGAAACAGCCCAAAGAGCCGCTTGTTTCCATCTTTGGCTTTCGGACTCGGAACAAGGAAGTGATGGAGCCTTTTTGTGGAACAGGATGGCGAGTCGCTTGGATTAAAGTCTGGTGAACGACTAGTACTACTCAGCAAGAAGCACCTTTATGGGGTGTCTGGTGCCTTGGATTCAAATCAAGAAAGCAGAATATGCTGTTCAGCAGTTCAGTGTTTCCGTGTTGCTAGGAATCCTTGAGCATCAATGCACCGCGGATTTGTGAATCGGGTCGAACTTCGCTTGTTCGTACACCTAGTCCGCGGTATTTTAACCACGTGAACTGTTTTGCTTCAAACACCCTTTGTTCATTTTCGGGTAATGAGATGGGCACCCAGAGACTTCAAGGCTATTGTTTCGCAGCCAGAAGCATTTCCTTTTAAAGAAACTCACACTTAGTGCTCCGAAATAGAGGGCGGATCGGCATGACCAGGTTTTGACTGCCGTCGCCTCACAAAGGGTATGCTAGATTCTACCCTCAATAAATTTTAAAACTACTCGTATAAAAAAGTTTGACCAAGGAGAAGTACCCTCGCGCGGTTAAGATAGCGGCGGTTAAAATACCGCGGACTAGGTGTACGATCTCAAGCACCTGAGCAGTGGTGTGTGTGACTTGAGAGAAGGGAAATCACTGTCACATGAAGCCACGCCAGATCAGATTGGCTTGACTTGATAGTCGATGACAAAAATGCGAATTCTTCCACTTGATGGAACCATGTCAAGGGCTTGACTTGGCATTGCCAATGTCGATTGTCAGTCAAGGGGCAACTTTCCACATGTGGGAAACATCCTTTCAGATCCTTTTAAAGCCCGCGGCCCAAATTGCGGGCCGCGCGGGTCAAGCTTTTAAAACTTGACGAACTAGTGTAACTAGTGTTTGCAAGGTTTTAAAAAAAGCGCGCCTGCAATTTGGGACTTTCGGGGACTGAACCAACTCCCAGGGCGAAATAACCGAAATCGATAACGTTCGCCAAACCCCAGACCAGAAAAACCCCCTCGCGTCAAGCTTTTAAAAGTTGTGCAATTTGGGCTGCCGGCTTTAAGGGTACTAAATTCTGCCGAGCCAACACTTGGGTTCATCCACACCCATTTCCCCAGTCGAGCAAACTTCGGGAATGACGTGGTGTCAACCGTGCTAGACCTGAGGTCTGGCACGAGCTCAGAATTGACCCGACCCCTTCCGCCATTTTCTGCAGAGCCTAACTTGTTTGGGTCCAGGTGTCTGTCCAGGGTTGTCGGCTGAGACGTCAGCTGAGGATGTGTTTGTCGTCTTTTCTCACACCGTAAGCTGGGACGTGGTACACACCGTGTTTTCTTGGTTATCCCGCACACGACCAGAGATGAAGCTCTGTGCGCAGCACAAATCTTGCAGCACTCTTCTGTGATTAATCATCTGCTCTACGTTCTTTCGAGCCTTTCTTAGGACATTCATTATATCCTATCAACGTGTTACTTGCGCTGCCGCCTTCTTTCATTTTCCACTGACGCCTTCGACTAGGGTTATCGCGGATTCGACAAGAGGATACTGAGAATGAAAAACACGTGTCTCGCACCACAAAGGAACAAGGTGACGACAGAAACAGGTGTTCATGAAGCTAACGACGAACTGTAACCGCTAGGGCGATCATTCGGTTTTCGGCCTGCATTACACATGATGCCCGTTTGAGCCACTCCCGGTTGCCTTGTTAAGGGGGCTCATAAGCTACACTTGCATTTCGCCAGTGTTCGTAGGTTTCGTTACACTTGTAAAGTGCTTCTAAAAAATAATGGTAACCAGCTCATTTGTCTTACACTTGGCGCAAGTCTGTACACTAGCCTAGAAACAAGGCAAACCTGGGCCAACCTGGTTTGGTCTGTGATGCACGTTCAGTTTTGGTCGAAGCGCGTCCACTGTGCTATGCCATCCATGTGCCTGCACCGTGGGAGGAGCTTCCCGGGGGCAAAACCTCGGGTGCAGCGTTTCCATCCGGTGCAAGGCAAATTCGAGTGCACGGGTTGGGCATCATGTGTACCAGCAGCACAAGGCTTGTACGAACAGAAACAGAAGCCTGGACAGGTCTCCCTCGGTGAACCAAACAGAGATGTGTGTTGACTGATAACGTGACGACTTCTCCCTGCGCATTGTTTTGTCGTTTCTAATGGTGCGTTATGGACATCTTTAATTTTGCCCTTCACAGATGAGTACATAAAGCTTGTTATGAGTTGTGAATAAGTAGAGTGCCCGGAAGTAAATAACGAGATTGTGAACATAGCTAATGTGCAAACAACTAAGCCTAGTGGTAACAAAGTGAGGGACCTAGCTAGGCTTGGACCTCGGGATTGTGAGGTTGGGTGAAGTTATAAATCCCGAAAGCGATACGCGCGGTACGATCAGGAGGCGAGGCTATCCGGTCGAGCATGGTCGTCCAAAAATCGGAGATATAAGCGTATAGTGTGACCCAATAAGGAAATAGAAAAATTCATTATGTGGACGGCTGTGTCCTGTGTCGGCTGGAAAGATGATCATGTGGACGGGAAATGGCCACGCCCTCGCTTGGGCAAAGCCAACTTTGCAGTCGGATGCGCAGGAGGTGCAGCCGACTTGTCCGCATAAGACGACGTCGACCGCGCACAAAAACGGCGTCGACCGCTCGCAGAATTCGACGTCGACTTGGTCGACGCAAGTCGTTCGACTTCGAAATCCGTCGCGTGTGCGAATGTCGCCTAGGAGGTTTTCGCGAAGTCAACCTGCGGTATGACATCATGCGCTCGACGGTGCACGGTTGGAGAAACCGTCGACACTTGGCTAATGCAAGGAAACGCCATGGAGATGGCAAGTTCGGGCCGATGCTCCCGTTGGAGGTGGTTCTCCTGAGGATACGTGCGCAGTGGGCGACGAAACACCCTTCCCGACTTGCATCTCCTCAACCGGTGCAAAACGAAGGCGGCGTCGACGAGGAATGTCGAAACACCCTTCTCAGCGGGAGCGAGGGCACGAAGAAGAGCGGAGTGATCAAGGCCGGAGCCGACCAGGTCGGCAGAATACATGCGTGAATGCAGCGGTTGACGGCGGCTGCGGGCAGCTCGCACGAGGACGTCGACGATCGACGTCGCTCCCCGCAGAGAAGCGGAGCCAGGTCGGGCTCCTCGACGCACGTGACGGCTGGCGGAATTGCACCGGCCTACGGCTACTTTAACATTTCGCCGGACAAGATCAACGTGCCCGCGTTGCTGGAAGATTGACGAGACCTCATGACGTGGAGGGAGTCGATCGAGCGGGCGAAATGTTTCGCCGGGCTGAAGTGTTTCGCCGACGGCGAAGTGGTGATGCCAGACGAAGACGACGTCGAGCTGTGGGCAGAATTATGCGCGGCTCATCTGCTAACCTTCATGGTCATCTCGCGCTGCTGTTCGCCGATGGTAAAGATTGCTCTGAAGCCATGTTGACTTCGACTGGTCGCTGGCCACAAGGCGTTGCAATTCATTTTGTCGACGTACCAGGCGACCGACGACCTGTACATCGGCCAGCTGGAGTAGCGCTTGACTCACCCCAGGATGGGTGAGCAGGAGTCGGCGACGGACTACTGCAACCGAGCTCGACGGATCCTTGCCGACATGCAGATGGCACGCGTCAACTACTCGACGGAGTCCTACATCACACACGTCGTCAATCTGATGTGGCTACAATCTGATGCGCCGGATGATGGCGATGCCCGGTGTACGCGAGTCGCTGAACGAGGACACGCTGACGAGCCACATCATAAAGGATGAGGCTGTCAGAACATTATAGCTTATACATTTGTGTAGGCTGTAGTGGGGTAGCCCATAAGGGGTACAACCCAATTAGGGTTAGTACTTGTACCCAACTGTTTGCTAGTTCATTCATTCTCGTTCACAACATTCTAACATGGTTTCAGAGCAGGTCCCCTAGGACCGGTTTGTTTTTGGGCCCACCACCTACTGCCCTGCTAGCCTAGGCCCGCGCCTGTTGCCTCTAGGCCTCGGCCCGTCGCCACCCCTAGCCCGGCCCGTCGCCCCTTGGCGTCGCCCCTAGCTCGGCCCCCGTCGCCCCTAGCTTCGCGCCCCCCCCGTCTCCCCTAGCTTCGCGACCCCCGTCGCCCCTAGCTTCGCGGCCCCCCCGTCTCCCCTAGCTTCGCGACCCCCGGCGCCCTAGCTTCGCGACCCCCCGTCACCCCTAGCTTCGCGACACCCCGTCGCCCCTAGCTTCGTGACCCCCCGTCGCCCCTATCTCGCGACCCCCGGCGCCCCTAGCTTCGCGACCCCCTCGTCGCCCCAGGTTTCGCGGCCCCCCCGTCGCCCCTAGATTCGCGGCCCTGACGCGCCTAGGCCCTAGGCCCCACGGCCCCACGTTTTCTGGCCCCGCGGCCCCCACGTTTTCTGGCCCCGCGGCCCCCACGTTTTCTGGCCCCGCGGCCCCACGTTTCTGGCCCCGCGGCCCTGACGCGCTTACGCCCCTAGGCCCCGCGGCCCCACGGTTTCTG